TGCTGAGGTCAGTTGAGAAGGGTCTCGGGGGGAGCTGGTCTGTTGTCCCGCCATGTTTTGCCCCTTTGTTGCTGCAGCACCTCCGATGATTAGTCTTGGGGTTCCCCTGTTCTGAGTGGCGGCCTAAGTGGGTTTCAATACCTGGGGAGGAGGGCTCTGGCTCCAGGAGGTGCCTTCAGACTAGAGGAGGTGAGAAACAGAGCAGGGGGTTCATGGGAGCCCCCTGCCCCCACCAAGAGCCCTGGTGGAGTTGCCGGCCCTCGGGTCAGCTTGCTGTGCAGGGCCCGGAGAAGCCAGGGCATCTCCAGGTGCCAGTAGCTTGTTCAGGCCGTGCGTGTGAGTGAGAACTGTGTTCCTCTTACCATGCCTCCTTTGGATAGCCTTGGTGAAGCTGTGTTTCTGATTCTCTCTGGGGCCCTCTCTCGGGAAAATCTGGGGGGAAATAAACCTTACTTCCCACCCCCAGCCCACCCAGGCCTCCACACTAGCGGCTCCTTCCAAGGACTGAGATGCCTCAAGGACACTGGGCTAAGGGAGATTCATGAAAGAACAAACGCTGTGGCTTCCCCACCTAGGAGGTGCCTGGCGTGGACATGTTCATAGCAAAGCAGAACAGGGGGTCTCAGGGGAGAGGGAATGGGGCATGAGGGCTCAGCAGGTACCGAGTTTTAGTTGGAGATGATGAAAAAAGCCTAAGAGATGGGGGGAGGGGGTGCTGGCCGCACACTACAGGGGTACCTGATGACGCCGGGTTGGACGCTGAATTTTATGTTCATTTCAATTAAATTTTATATTCATTTCAATTATTTCAATTAAAAAAGACAATGATGCAAACAAAGATGTCTTGCACCCCCAAGTTTCTGCTCCTGTGGTTTTTGTCCTTCATTCCTCAGTTTATTTGGGGTGTTGCCCACCCAGTGAGTCACTCGCTTTTTGTAAAAAAAATGTAATGCACCTGCGAGATAAAAATGATTATACATTAAGGAATAACACTTATTGATAATTAAGTGTTTCTTTGCCTCTTTGCTTCCCCCAAATGGAATAAATAAATATTTTAGACATAATCAAGTTTGTTTGCTCTATTCAGGCCAAACAGACAGGGATGTTGAAACAATATAGATCTTTAAAAATCTGCAAATGAGTCTTGGCATCACCGAATTGTTATGCGTCCAGGGTACACAGGCCTGAAATCCAGGCTATCTCTTTTAATCAGGAAAATCATTTTTGTGATCCTTGTATTTTGAGTCCTGTGGGGTTAAGGGAAGGGACCAGCCGGGAGAACATCAGAGTGAGAATCTGAAATGCTGCGTGGAGTCCTGCCCCCACCCATCCCGGTGTGACAGTCTGCATTTTAATGCCAGTCTCCTAGCTGGGCTGGGCTTCCTCCTGTCTGCAGAGTGGCCCAGGGTGAGAAATCGGGGTGGCAGAGTCCTGAGTGGACTGAGCCACGGGTGAAGACGGTGATTGGCACGGTAGACCAGGCAGGAGTCCAGCGGCAGGAGCTTGACCTTGGCCCCACCCCATCTCCTCGCACTGATGGGCTCACCCTTGGCTTTGGATCTAGGACTGAAAGCGTGTGCTTCACAGCAGGGTCCGCTGGCTCGTGGGGAGGTGGTCCTGCGCTGGCACTGACTTGGTATTCTTTCTGAGAGCCAGACTGGGTTCTGTTCATTGTCTACACTCTGCTGCCCTCTGACCAGAGGGTCACGATTGAGCGAGTCAGCAGGCCTGGCAGGAGGAGGTGGTGCGGGGCCCACGGCTGTGGACAGCAGACACCTGTGACCTCACCATCTCAGTGCCCTGCGTCTGCCACAGCACATTACAAGCTTGGTGCCTTAAAACAACACACACTGTTCCCTTCCTCCAGGGGTTCTTGGGGACAATCTGTCCTTGCCTCATCCAGCTTCCGGTGGCTCCAGATGGCCTCGGGTTATGGCTGCAGGATTCCGCTCTGCCTGCCTCTCTTATGGCCTCCTTCTCTGTGCTTCTCTGTGTCTTAAATCTCCCTTTCCTTTCTCTTGTAAGGACACTTACCATTAAATCTACCTTAAATCCAGGATAATCTGTCCTGGGATCCTTAACTTGCAAACACCTCCCTCAAATAAGGTCACAATCATGGTGCTGGGGGTTAGGACATGGATATGTATTTGAAGGGCTACTGTTGACCCTGTACACTGCCCTGATTAGCAGTGAGGTCCCCTAAAAACTGGCCCAGTCTGGAAAAGTACTTAGATTTGGGACCAGGCCAGAGAGATGGCCTTCAAAAACAGGTGAGACCTTGAGAGGCCCACAGGCTAGAGGTGAGGGTGGGGAGGGAGGGCTGGGTCCCCCTGAGGGCATCCTCTGGCAGCTGCTGCTTATGGAGTCCTGGTCTACTTGCCCTCTGTAGCTGCCCCACTGGCACAGGTGCAGCCAGGCAGGCACCTGGGGAGCGGGGGGGGGATAGGGGGGGTGGGGGCATGGCAGTGACTCACATGGATCTGCAGGATGCGCAGAGCCTCAGCACCATGTGGGGACCTGGAGAGAGTGAGGCTGCACTCTGCCCTTGATTCCTGTGTCCTCTGCGGTGCCGCCCCTCCCTCCCTGGGGCTCTGGAAGGCCTGAGGTCTTCATCCCTGCGTGTGGGCTCAAGGAGAAGGAGATTGGTCAGAAAGATACAGGTCCCCAGCTGTGTGCTCCAGGGGTGCAGAGTTTACCATGATGGTTTTCACACCCCTATCAACCCAGGCTGATGGCAGCTGACCGGAGGAGGGCCAGCTGGACCCATCCCCGGAAACCGCAGGTGCTTGAAGAAGGCCTAAGAGCAGAGAGAAGTATCTGAGGACTCTCAGTGGATGTGGCTCTCAGGGGTCTGAGGACCGAGAGATGGAGATGGAGATGCCCAAAGAGAGGGACCCAGTCTTGTAGTTCTACAGGGACCCAGTTTGAGGGTGTGTGTGTGTGTGTGTGTGCGTGTGTATGTTGGGGGGAAGTGTTTGCATAAACCTGGGGGAAGACTTCTCATTGGACCTCATTTTAAACAGCATGTCATGCCTGATGCCTGCTTTAGGCCTGTGTCATTACTGAGGACCCAGCTTTCCTGGTGAGGCCGAGACAGACTTACCTACCAGCTTTGAGCTCCGGCAGCCAATACCTGTTTTCCTCTTTATGGCTTGACTGGCATCTACTCTAGGTGTCGGTAGTAGGCGGGGCCCCCTGTGTTGGGAACATGGGCTTGGTATTTGGAATGTGGTAATAAATGACCTGTGATAAAAATGAAGATTTGTGCATGGCCCTTGCCTTCTGGAAATTGAGAGCAAGAGGTCTTGAAGAATCTTCTAGGCTCTGCAGGAGCTATGATGTGGGAGCTCCATGGATCAGCGCCTTGGTCCCTGGTGCTTCTTGGAAGATGGTGGTGGGAGAGGTAGATCCATGAGCTGGAGGGGCTTGAGCAATTCCGACTTGACTTTGGGCTGCTGGGACCCAAAGCAGATGCAGAAGCTCGCAAAGAAAGCATCTGTGTTTTACTCTTTGATGGGAAACACCAGTTCTCAGGATGTGAAAACAGCCAGTGTTTTCTTTGCATTCGGTTTGTCTAGCTCTGGATTCCACCAGCTTACATCTCTGGGGAGGAGAGTGTCTTGGTAATCAGGGTCGCTGAACAAAGCAACCCAGCTCTTAAGCAGCAGCAGTTCATCTCTCTCCATTCTGGAGGCTGGAGGGCTGAGGTCAGGGCGCCAGCACGGGCAGTTCTGGTGAGGGCGCCCTTCCTGGCTGCAGGTGGCCGCCTTCTCGTTGTGTCCTCATGGGACAGAGAACACTGAAGCTCCCGAGTCTTAGTAAGGAGTGGGCAGCTAATCACGTTCTGGGGTCTCCATTCTTCAGAGCTGGTCACCTCCCCGAGGCCTCCTGTTATGGTCATATTGGTAGTGAGGATCTCAATATACAAATCTGGGGAATGGGGCAACACACAAAAACACATACACTTCAGTCTATGGCAGGACCTTACAAATCCTGCCTCGGGTTAGAACCCAAGGGAGGGGACCCAGCGTCCACTCGCACCGCTTTAATTGACAGATGTCAAATAGAGACTCAGAGAGGGGAAGTGGCTCCCCAGGACTGCACATAAATTAGGTGCGGAGTCAGAACGGGCACCCAGCGCTCCTGCCTCCTGTCAGCGCATCCACACCACTGCCTGTGTTCGCCGTACATCAGTGCTAACTGCTGCTGTGTTCTTCCCGAGAGGGGGTGTGCCCCTGCGTGTGGGTCCACGTGGCTTGCAGAGCAAGGGTCCCAGATGGGGCCGCCTGCTGGAAAGGCCGCCAGGGGCAGGAAGAGAAGAAAGGCAGGGGCAGGGGGGCAGGGAGAGGCGCTCAGGAAGCGGAGCCGCAGCCAGCTGCCAGGCTTCTTCAGTGCAGCTCATCCAGCAAGCCAGTCTCCAGCCGCGTAAATACAGTGGATAGCTGACGGGCTGACAGCAGGCTTCAAACAGCCTTAAACTGCCCCAGATCCACCGCGCTTTTGAAGCAGCAGTGGAAAAAGGATGCCTGCGCAGAACAGAGGCCTGGAACTTTTAATAGTTTCTTCTGGGCCTCAGGATGTCCTGATGAGGTATTAGAGGAAGTAATTCAGGAAGAAAAGGACAAATCGCCTCCTCCCTCCGGAGGCCGACCCGAGGGCTGGCGAGAACGGCCCCGCGGTGAGGAGCCCGCCCGCCTGCCTCCCTGCGCTCCGGCCCTTGTCAATAACAGACAAGGAAATGTCTTGTTTGCTTCCGGGCACATGTCAGCCGCGCAGTGCCCGCCGCATGTGGGTGCAGTCATTAGCTTTTCCGCGCTGTTGGAAGGGTGCTGGGTACAAGTGAGAAATCATTGCCTCATCCTCCAGGCCGTCCTAGGACCGGCCCACCTACCCGCTGCCCAGAGGCCTGGGCAGGCTGCAGGACCAGGGGAGGAGCGTGGGGCCCGCAGGATCCGCACTCACCCCTCCTCTCTGTTTCCTCCTTTCCCTGTTTCCTTCAGGGTTCGGCTTTGTCACTTTTGAGAATGAAGACGTTGTGGAGAAAGTCTGTGAGATTCATTTCCATGAAATCAATAATAAAATGGTAAGTCTCTGGGAGGGGGAGCTGAGGCGGGTTGGCCTTGGTCATGCCGGTGGGCAGTGGGCGGGCTGGGCACCAGCACAGGCTTCGGCCCCGGGACAGTGGAATTGTTTGGGAGAGGTCGACAAACTTGGTCTGTAAACAGACAGACGGCCAACACCGTTAGCCTTGCGGCCACCCCAGGGGCAGCACAGAGGCTCGGTTCTGGAGCTGTAAGGAGCACCTGTGGCCCGGGCTGCGATGCTTCATTTATGGTCATTAAAAGTTGGATTTCTCACAACATTCTTGTTTCAAGTGATAGCACATTTTTAACTATTTAAGAATGTAAAATCCGTCTTTAGCTCTTGGACTTGACAAAAACCAGAGGCTGATGTAATCTCAGGGTCAGACTTCATCAACTTCTGGTTTAGGATATGCTTTCGATGTTTGGCTTTTTAAAAATTATTTGAAAGAGTGATGGACGGACAGAGATTGTCTGTCCACTGCTTCACTCCCCAAAGGCTGGGCCAGGCTAAAGCTGGGAGCCCAGCCACTTGAGCCATCCATCACCTGCTGCCTCCCAGGGTGTGCATTAGCTGGAAGCTGGAATTTTGGGAATGGAGCCAGGACTTGAACCCAGGCATTCCCATACAGGATGCAGGCATTCTAAGTGGTACCTGAACCTCTAGACCAGGTACCCACCCACCCCACCCCACCCCCATGTTTGCCTTTTAAGAAGTGTATCCTATATAGGAAGTTGACCATACTAGGAGGTTTCTCTTTGAGCCCGTTGGGTCAGTAACATTCCACCTTTCAGCAGATTCCTGCCCTCACAAGCAAGGCCACCATCCCCATGGCCCTGGAAAGTTTCTCTTCCCGCCACAGCAGCCTGGAGATGGAGGGCAGTTGGGCTATGGGAAGGCTGGCCTGCTGGAGAAGTGGCCACCAGAGGGCACCATGCCGTGGGCAGCACGTGCCTACGGCGAGTGAAGTGTCCAACTCTGTCCTTCAGGCTGAGTTAGGGGGTTGGTTCCAGGAAGATGAAAGCCCAGTAGGTGTTCCTGGAGCCACCAGCAGGTCCCAAGGAGCAAATACATTTTGGTTGGCCAGCAGGGCCTCCAGCCCCAAGAGAAGAGGGAGGGGAAATTTGTGTTTCAATCACAGCTGTAACTTTGATATTTTCTCTCTTTTGTCCAAACACCGCCTGCTTCTGAAACTTGCATTCAGATATGCATTGTATATGGGTCTGATGTGTGTTCACCAACTTTAAATTCAATAATGGAGCTTTTAGTGTGGATAAGATCAAAGCAATCTACTTAGCATGTGTGCTGCAGGCCTGACTCAATATTTGACTTGCTAATTTTTTCCCAGGGCACTAAAATAATATTGTTCATATTGTTCCTAGCCATCATATGCATCTGAAATGAAAGTATCCCTTCTGTGCGTGCTGTATGTTGGCGGCGCCAGGGCAGGCGTTAAGATGGTGCAGGCGAGATAAGTGGGTAGAGACAGCGCAGGTCTCCTGCCTGGGCTTTCTCTGTCCCTAGATGGCAGGGCCTCCGTGTCTGGACTTCTCTCTCTTAGTAGGTTACTGTTTTCTATTTTTAGAACTAGAGAGATAGGGGACTTCTCTACCTGTCTCCAGTGCCTAGATGCCTTGTTTATCCCAGGCAGAGTGTGCTATTGACAGACACTCTGCTGAAGACTGCCAGAAGTGCAAGGGGTGGGGGAGGGGGCAGCGGGCAGTGCTGGCAGGAGCCCTTCCCGCCCTGCCAGGCCTTAACGGTTCATTGGGAAAGGCTCGCTGCAGACTGGCAAGAGACAGCTCCGTGTGCCACGCTGCGCCTCTGTGCAGCCCTTCGCTGCTGCTGGGCTTTGAACCAAGCCTGAGATAGCTGGGGAAGGACTTCATCCTCCGCACTGCTCCAGTGGGGAAACTGAGGCCCTGTGGCCCATGCCCCCAGGGCTACCCAGGGAGTAAAGGAGCATGGGTCCTGAGCCTGGTGGCTGCCGGGTGAACTGTGTAGACACTGGTGTGAGCCCAGGCCCGGGAGGTGGACCCCCAGATGACTTCCACGCTGGAAGGCAGAGTTTCAGTCCCAGAAGGAACCCGGAGAGGTATGCAGCCGCGCGCCCCGTTGTTTGCCATGTGTCGCCTCTTCTTGCACCCAGGTCAGAGGCTCACCGGGGCAAGTGCAGTGTGAGGGTTTCTGTGTTCTTTGGGATCTAAAGCTAGTGCTTGATCTTTATTAGAATAAGTGACAGTGGAAGTAGACAGAAAGTGGGCAGCAGTGTGGATGGGGTGGCTAGGACCTCAGGCTTTGGAGGTGTGGACCAGGTTCCCAGTCCCTGGTGATGGGCTCTGCGGGGAAGAACTTAGGGGCCCCGGGAGGTGCTCTGGCCGAAGTCACTGGTCCTTGCCGGGCTGCACTGGTGATGTGTCACCTCACTGGGTTGTTGGAGATGGGCCAGATGCTGGGGGCAAAGGGCCTCACACAGTGCCTGCACAGGGTGTGGGCTTGAGAAACGGTAACTCTGGCCGTTGTCCACACTGTTGTTACTCAGAAATCCTCCAGCCAACTCCCCTGCTCCGGAGGGGGACGGAAGGGAAAGGGAGCTGGTAGAAGAGCCAGGAGCCTGAACTGTTTGGGATCCTCCAGTCCTGGTTTCTCCTTTGGAGATCCAAAGGAAAGGAGCTGAAATGTGCTGTGGACAGAATTTAAATGCAAGACCCGGAGACTGCCCAGAGCAGCACAGATGACTGTCAGCACATCCATCTGTAGGAGCCTTTTTCTTTCTTTTTTTTTAAGACTCTATCTTTCAAATAAATAAAGTTACAGAGAAAGGGAGAGACAGAGAGAAAGGTCTTCTTTCCATTGGTTCACTCCCCAGATGGCTGCAATGGCCAGAGCTGGGCCGATCCAAAGCCAGGAGCCAGCAACTTCCTCTGGGTCTCCCAGGCAGGTGTAGGGGCCCAAGCACTTGGGCCATCTTCTACTGCTTTCTCAGGCCATAGCAGAGAGCTGGATGGGAAGAGGAGCAGCCAGGACTTGAACTGGCGCCCATATGGGATGCCGGTGCTGCAGGGCGAGGCTTAGCCTACTATGCCACAGTGCTGGCCCCTGTAGGAGCCTTTCTTAAACCGGCCTGTGTTGTGAAGCTGGGAGGCGTGACCTCCTGGCACCCTCATCATCTCCCTGGGTGCTGTGTAGGTGCGCACAGCACAGCACGTGGCTGTCTCCCCCTCACTCCCACCTCCACATGCCCGGGACTTCGGTTTTCTCATATTCACAGGTATGGAGTAGTTAGTCACAGACAGGACTGGGCCTGTGGTTGAGTCGCGTGTGCCTTCTCTGCCTAACCAACCACCGTGTAAATAACTGAGGTGAACAGGATTCACTGAGGGGCTGTGAGGCTGTGAGGCTGCATAGCTCCCAGAGCCAGCCCATCTGATTGGCTGCTGAACCTTCTGGCATTTTTAAATGAAGGCCCTGCTCACCCACGAGAGCCAGCAGCAAGCATGAGAGTGCTTCTGCCTGCCCAGCCCCGGGGTAGCTGTGTTTGAGAAGCTAGGGTCCTCCTAGAAGCCCTGCCCTTTAAGGAGGTCACCTGCAGGGTGTGGTGGCAAGGGGATGGCCAGAAAGACCTCCATGACACCTCTTACACAGAGATCCAACAAAGGTAACGCTTTGGGTTGCAAGCTTGGCCCCAGGCCACACAGTCTGGAAGGGGTAGCCCCAGAATTCAGGCACTGGCAGCTCTGCTCTGGGGCTCGTGTTTGCTTTGCCTACAGGGTTATACTTCCTCTCTGGGACTAAAGGGCCCTTAGTGGCCATGTGCAGGACTCCTGCCTTCCAAGGCCGCTTAGGGCCCCATCACCATCAGCAGTCTCGCGGCCTCTGTGAGTCCTTTTTGTCCTAAGAGTAGGGCAGAGGAGGTGCACTTGCTCAGAGCCAGAGCCCCTGCTAGAGCGAGAGGCCCACTGAGCGTGGGTTTCTGGGCTCCAGATCAGCTGCCCATCTCCAGGCCTCTGCCTCCACTGCCCAGAGGCATGTAAGCAAGGGGCCTGGGTCGGGAACTGGCTGCCACCTGAGACCAGGACTGACCCCTGAGAGCCGACTCAGCCCCTTTTGCAGTCTTGGCAGGGCCGAGTGCAATACCAGTGGTTCTTTATCAATAAACGCGTGCACGGAGCCAGAGAAGGGCTGCTCTGGCCGCTCCGCAAGCTGCGGGGGCGGGTGCCGCTAATAAGGCCCCCCGCCGGTGCCCTGATTGAAGCAGCCCTGAGCAGCAGCCGCACTGGCTTGATTAGTCACCAGAGCCCAGCCCCCACGCTGCCTCCCGAGGAGCCAGGGAGCTGGGGGGTGGGAGATGCAGAGGGAAAAGGAGCCAGCTCCACGTTCCCAAAAAACCTGGCCCAGCCCCCACTTTAAAACCATGTTGTCGGGGATGTGGTAAGAACCTGGGCCGCAGCTGATTCAACAGGGCAGTCACTACACGCCAGCTTGGGGGAGGCGCTTCCTGTGCTGCTTCCTCATGGCATCCAGGGGAGGGGTCCTTCCCCGTTTTACAGAGGAGGCTGCTGCACCCGCTGCCCACATGGGCACACCTCATGCTGGAGGAAACGGGGTTATCTGCTTTACACCAGGGCTGCTGCTGCTGGACTCCACTAAGTAGTCCTTTTCCTCATTCCTTAAAGGTGATTGCATCAGCAGAAACGTGCTAAGCTGCTTGTGAGTGCACCCGCCTTGGTCGCCAGTTGTCCTGGGGCGACAGGCTGTCTGGACGCTGGTGAACAGGGTGTGTGTCCTGGCAGCCGTGGCAGCTCTGAGAGCTAGTCAGGAATGCAGAGTCTTAGGCCCCATGCCAGACCCCGGGATCTGCATGCTGACCGATGCCCAGTGATTTGTGTGCACATCAAGGATGGCTGCTAATGACAGATAATGTGGGACCTGCAGGTCATCCGTCATCCAGCTTCAGAGGAAGGGACCTGGGAGGGAGGGGAGCATAGAGCCCAGATGAGC